AAAAAAAAAAAACAATTTTACAAATATTTAATATCCTTACATTTTTATTATATGAAATTGTAGACTTGATTTGAGTGTAGTTAAACTCATCTAAATTATTAACGGTCAAAAGATTGAAGATTTGAAGTTATTATTATTATTACATTAAATTATTTTAATAAAACATTTAGGTGTAGGAATTCAACGGAGATAGGTATCTTAACGCTACTCAGATTGACCATTAAATTGTAAGTTTGAGATCCAAAACTTTGATGATTATATTTAATAAGCCTCACTTCAAAAAAACATCTAAATAGATAAATAAATCTTTAATTTGTATTAAGATGAAATTAGAAAGCACAAAGTTGCTTCTTTTTCTCTCCATCTTCTGTGTAGAAAAAGGCTATGCTTGAAATGCAAGGATGTGAAAGAAGAAAGGTGAAATGAAATTGCAATTTGCATTTGCATTACATATAAGTTGGAAGGAAGTTCTTGAATGGAGCCCACATTTTGGATTGCAAAGGATCATCATATCCCCATTTGAAAGAAAACCCCAAAAACAAACCAACCCTAAAAGTGAAGAATTGGGTTGTAAAGTTGGGTTGGCCTCGAGCTCTTTTTGGAACTAAAATTCCATAATTTTAGAGAGAGAAAGAGGAATTCTGAGAGATGGGTTTTGGTTTTAGATTACATGGAAACAAAACCCACATTGTAGTAGTGGATGAGAGAGGGAGGAGAGTGAGTGATTTTCTCCACAGTCAAAAAGAAAACGAGGAGTGGAGCGACGATTTTGGCGACACTATCGATTCTCAAAATCCTCACAGTATGTAAAATTTGTAATGCATTTTTTCTTCTTCCAACTGCTTTGATTTTTTCTTCCATTCTCAGACATGCACTGGATTTGAGAATAATCTCACCCTTATCAGTCTCTTTTGTTGGTTCTTGGGGTTGTTCGTCCTCCGCGAGATTTCCGGTAACTTCATTTTGCTTCGATAGTTCCGCTCCCCTTCTATATCTCGTCCTCAGATTTCTCAGTTTTACAGGTTCTCTCTGAAACTTCGTATAGATTTTTGTTTTTGTCCGTTGCTTGTTTTTTTCCCTGATTGAGCTTTGTGAACTGGAATAGAGGTTTTAGTACTGCAACAGACTTGTTTAGAAATTAGGGTATTGGAATCTTATCTGGGTTGTTGCTTGCTTGAGGAATCTTAGTTTTTGTTTTGAAGTATAGATGGAAGATAATAGGAATGGCAGAAGAAGAGCAAAAACAGAGGTGTTATAGTAATAGATTTGGGAGTTTTGGGACAATTGGTGGTGTTGGTGGTAGATCTTCTTCTAAAAAACCAAAGCCAAAGACTAAGAAAGTTCCACAGAGAGGGCTTGGTGTTGCGCAGCTTGAGAAGATCAGATTAGAGGAACAGCAGAAGAATGATGCAGCTGCTGCAATTTTCTCATCCCCTTCTCCATTGTCACCTACCAAATCCTCCTCTTATCTGTCGTTGCCCGTTCCCAGTTTTCGCCAGTCGAATCAGTCATCGTCCTCGTCTTCATTCCCTTCGCCTCCTCTGGTGAACCTCTCCTCTTCCAGCTCAATGTTTGGGCCACCTCTGCCTGTTCTGAACATGGACGTTAGAGATTCTTTCACTGTTCCATTGGTGGATCAGGCAAAGAGTGGTGGATCTGAAACTGGGTTGTCTGCAGTTACAATCATGGAGCAAGGAAATGCTCTCAAATGGCAGAGCTCTTGTGAATACTATCTCGAGAAGGAGAATTACGGGGTCGACCCGGGACAGGCTTTTCGCTCAAATTTCAATCTCCCATATGAAGTTAACCCTGCCTGGCCTTCCCCAGAACTGCTCCAAAGAGCACAGCAATACCAATCACCTTCTCCAATGGTAACACATGAAGTTTCTCTTTTCCTTTGTATGACTATTTATTACTTCTTAAAATCTCTTGCTGTTGAATAAGAGACCAATTTTGATTTAATGACTTGCAGGTGAATAATGTCTCATCAACAACTTCATTGTCTTCTGGTCTTAATGTCCAGATAGAGCCCCCTTCAAACCAAAGCTATTATTGTGGCAACTACTCAACCATCTGGGCAGACAAGGAAGAGAAGGTGACTTCAATTACTCTACTCTTACTACCTTCATGCATTTTCTCAGTATGATTCTGTAAAGAATTTAACCATCTTTGAAAAGTGCTGTATTTGTTGATCGAATTGAAGTACATATTTTAACTCAAAATGATTTTGGATTAAGAAAACTAATATAAGCTGCTGCTGTAAATGATTTGGTGTAAATGTAGTCACAGATGGTTGGCATGAAGAGATTGTCTCTCTTAACTCCAAACAACCCAAGTGGACCGACTTTCGATTACGACCGCTCTTCCTTCACTGTTCCAAATAGATCTGATGATTCACCTTCACATGGCAATGGAAGCCTGCCAAGTTTTCCGTAAGTCGAATTCTGATTTGATCATATACCCTCTATGCTCTAGATATACCATGGATGCTAAAAGATGTATTTTTTCGATATACAGAGAGGATCATACGCCGAGCTTAACACCGAGCTCCGAGGACGACTTTGGTGGAAACTTCCTCACCCTGGCTTCTCTTGCTACTCGTTGGACATCATGTCCAAGCTCTAACAATGTTAAGTCCCCTCCAACTTATCCTCTTCTGCAGAACCTTGTGCATCACCCCGATTCAGAACCGTTTCATTTTCAGGTGAGAAAAGAGAGAGAAAGCATAGTGAATTTGCATCCCTTTAGTTGTGTGTTTGACTGAATTTCATTTTCTTCGGATTGATATGTCGAAGGGAGGAACGAAACCTGTTGGATTGGCCGAAAAGCAGCCATTCTACAGCTTCCTTCCAGCTGCAGAGGCAAAAACTGGACAAGAAACTGCCACTTCTGTGAACAAATTCAAGGGTGGCGAAGTAGGAGAAAGAGTTGATTTAGATTTGAAGTTGTAGAAGTTGTAGAAACCTGTATGTTACTCTTTTAAATGTTCTGTCTTTTGGGTTCAAATATATGTAGGTTTTAAATTATGAAATTTTGTGTAAGAAACTCAAAATCTTACCTTCAAAGTTGTTTTGTTAGGTTCTGTTGGATAATCATTTTGTATTTGGGTTTCATAACCCATTCAATTTTCAACTTTTTGATTCTGAAAAAATGCTTTGAAATTGTAAGTTAATTTAAAAAAAAAAAAATTATTTCCTTCTTTTAAGGTATTCTTTTGACTCTTTCCCCAACTTGCCTTTTGTCTCTCAAAAGTATCTTTTTATTTCCAACTTTTTCAACTTTCCAAGTTTCTCTATTAAATTTGAATTTTGTTTTTTGTAACAAAAATTTATCCCTCAAATTTATTTCCCTCTCAAAAATATCTTTCTATGATTTCTCTTTATTCTTCCATATCTTTTTCCCCCCTCTTTTCACATACCTCTCTAATTTTATTTAATTAAAAAAAATCTAAATAGTTTTTAACGAGATTTTTAAGTGGTGATTTTTTTTCCCCTCCAAGAATTTCTGCTTGAAGCTATTCTGTCATTAAGTTGAAATTTCGATTTTACAAATCAAGAATGAAAATTTCGTAAGAGATAATTACGATCTTTCCTTTTTGACAAATAATGTATTTTTTAGAAGATTTCATTTGCCTCAAATATATATGAGAATCCCAAAATCATATTTGTATATATGAGAAGTTCACGAACACTTCATTTTTGGATTGAATTCTTAGAGAATTTTATTTTTTCAACAAATATTACCATAGGTTTAAATAATATTGATAACAACAATCACTGTACATTTCAAAAATTTATGTATAGAAAAAACTTAAATTAAAAAAAATTAAAGGTAAAATACTATTTTGTTCACTTTATTTAAAGTTAGTTTCATTTTGGTTTATATACTTTTAATTTTTGTTCATTTTAATCCTGGTACATTCAAAATTTCTGTTCTCATTACTGGTCCTGTTTGTACAATTTTGACATAAATTTTATATATAATTAAAACTTTTGAATAATTACATTTCAAGACATTCAATTGGTAGAGTGTCATACTAAAATTACGATAGAAATAAATGAGATAAAAATGAAAACAAAGAGACTAAAATGTTCATCTTTTAAAGGTACTAGTAAAAAATGAATGTTTTGAAAGTATATAAACTTATAATGAACAAAAATTGAAAGTACAAACTATGACTTAATTTAATTTAAGTCATTCATGCCATATCAACATTAGTTGTCAGCGGATTAAGCAAGTCTGAAATATAATTGAAATTTTTTTACAATATCCAAAGTTCAATAATTGAACTTAAAAATAATGCATTTCTCAAAAGTATTGAAAAAGAAAAAAAAAATGTTGGGGAGTTGGGTTCTCATCCGTCATCACCTCACGTTCAAACCACTACTCTTTTGAAAGTCCCAACAATGAAGCAAATAAAAGAGAGAGCAGAACAGTAGTTTTTATAACATTGCCTCAGAATATTATGTTTTAAAAAACAAACCCCAAATTTAAGTTAACAAATCAAACCCCCTCGATAAACTCCAAACCACCAACTGATCTATGACCAACCAAATACATAATCAAGAACATAAACCAGCACAAGAGAGAGGGGGTAGAGTAGGAGAGCCACCAGAGACGTCCATAGCGGGAACGCAGTTCGGAAGCTACCGAGGAGTCCCATCACAACCGTGACAACGAGAATAACCAGTACTTCGGATGAAAAGTTCCAAACCAGTCCTCTCATGTAAACAAGAGCCAAGAAGACTGATAGACAAAGCACATTGTTCATTGTCACTGCCCCATATAGCTGCACCAAGAAAAGGCTTACTTAGAGAGATTAGATTACTCGATCATTCTTTGAAGTTTTTCTATCAGTCCCCACGAGCACAGATGAACTATGGGTAAAAAAATGCAGTGTTAAGTATAAAAGAGAGAACAAACCTCTGAAAATGTTAAGGAGGCGGTTTTGCGTTTGTCACGACTTGCAAAGATTATAGCAGAGACTGCTTCACTGGAGTTGGTTGCTAATGGCAGAGCGATAAACGAAATAAAGAACGCAGGGATGTTAGTTGCACTAGAGAAGTTGTGTACGACGTCAACCAAAGGGTCAGCAAAGGCAGCAGCAATGGCAGTTCCAAGCATCAAGAAGAGTATAGCTTTGATCAACACTCCCTTGCTCTCCTCGACACCCTCCACGACCTCATCGCTCTGATCCCCGACATCCAGCAAATCGTGCTCTCTCTTTGTTTCCTTTAGATAAATTATGGCACGCTTCAGAAAAATGATGCAACACTAACAATTAAAAGAAAAATTAAGGCGAGCAGGTTTCAGCTTACTAGGTGAAAGTTATGCAGAAACCTCATTGAGTGAGGACCATCATCACCTCTGCCAGGCCTTGTAGCTTGTGCTTGAGAAAGCCACTTAATGACCCCATTGACAAACTCTTCAACATCGACATGGAAATCACGAGAAGTATCAAACTCAGTTAGTATTTTGTTGACAGCATCATCATGATCTAAGTCGATCTCCTCAAACTGAATGCCGAGAATTAGTGCTCTCAGTTCAGAAGCTGAAAGAAGTCCATCCTTGTTCTCATCAATTCTTAAAAATAGCCTGTCATTATGTTTGTTGAACAACTATCAAAATCTGATAAAATCAGAAAGAAGACGATGATAAAAATGAATAAAATAACTTCTTGATCCAACGAACTTTTGTATTATTTCTCTATCTGGCTCCCCATTTTCTGTCAGGAGTCTTCCAAGTGCTTGCTGTTTGAAATGTCTTAAAAGCCCAAATATAACATGTTTGTGCTTGACATAGGCAAGTTTCCTCCTTTGTATCCATGGCTGGAAAACCTGCACAAAGTTTCACAAGTGATAAAGTAGGACATCATTTTCTTTTCTTTTTCTTTTTAAAGAAGCCATGCTTTCATTAAGAAAAAATTAAAGAATAAAAGGGGCATTAAAAAAAACCAACCCCAAAAAGGAGTCAAGAGCAAAATAAAATGGGGCTCCAATCAAGAAAAATAGAGTCAAAGGTTATGTTACGGCAGAACTTATGCATAAAGATGAGCCACAGATTGTAATAGGAATTAAAGTTCTATTGTTAGAATAAAATCACGGAGCAGAGCCTTGTTTTCCTTTGCAGGAAACAATTTCATTTATGTAATGTGTCACACACCAGCCTTAATTTAGCACATAATTTGTATGTGCTACAAAATAGGATGGTTTTAACACAAAGATTGCAAATGCATATAAAATACCGAATCCGTGCTTAAATCACGACTAAGTAGAGGTGTAGAGGAATTAAACTTCCCACTATTGTACGGATATAATATTTCAAAAGATGAAAATAAAAATTTGAGTAAACTGTAAAAGAACATGTGTTAAGAAATAGAAAAAGCACCTGATAAAGGCAATATATAATGAACATTGAAACAGAGACCACAAGAGCAATCAACACTGCCACGTGCCTTCCTGATGTTGAATTGAGCAATTGTGGCAATTGAACTATTATGAATGGTATGACAGATATAACCATAATTCTGGCAGCATAGCTGGTCCAAATGTCAGTGCTAACTCCAGATTCTGCCAAAGAAGACATTCCAATATAAATTTATGCATCAATTATACGTACATGAAGAACATGACAGAAAAAAAAGATATCAACAAATCCATTAACAAAATTCAGAAATTCACGACCAAATCAGTGCCGGTGACTGAGACTAATTGACCCTCAGAACGAAATCAATTGGAATTTGGAAGTGTAATGAGGCGTAAGATGTAACCATGTATAAACAGCTTTAGGTATGTTGATGAGATTGAGAAGAAAAGGGTATCTTCCCAACATGAAGATGCCTGTGGTCAATGACAGAACTCACATAAAGCCTTTATTAGTATTCAAAATATATCCTTTTCCTTGACTACCCATTACGAATACCATTTCAGCCATGTTTCAACAACATAGGAAAACTTCACACTCTGCATATAAGATTCCCTCCCCAACTCCCCCCTCTAAACACGAGCCATACAAGAACAGAAACAGATATCTTGGAATTTCATCGGGTGCAAGAATATTAACATATGGGAAAGGTATATATACCAAAGCAGTTGAAGACAACTCAGAGTCAAAGACAAAAGGACGCACCAGTCAAGCTAAACCCTTTTGTATCCTGTGAATCTATAGCAACAGAATCTTGAAGATCACACTTCCCAACAATCACACATGTGCCCCAGATGAGTGTAAGAAGCATGACAGTTGAACCAGCTAGCAGGCCCATCCCAACGGAAACTTGGCTTTGTGCTACGTCAGCGCTTCCTGCAAGACCAGAAACTATAGAAGAAAATAGTAGATTAGAGGGTTATCAGAAACCATGAGTACATGAACATTATATAATTTCATTTTTCCTTTTGGGGAGAGACAGAAATATCTGTCTATGTAAGTAGCATCAATGTGTCATATTAAGAGATCAAAATATGGGCATTCCAATGAGAGTGGCCTATTCAAACTTGAAAGCCAGCGCTCTATATCAGCCTCCATATTCTAAACTTCTAAGTGGTTGATGAAAATTCGTTTATCACACTACAAATGGTGAAAGTCACAGAACATCAAAAATAAAAAAGAAAATAACCGAGGCTTAGAACGACACAACCCATAATTCAAAAAGGGGAACCAGCCAACAGTTAGTAGATGATGGTCCATAATTTTGAAAACATAGGGAAATGGCGAGAATGAAATTTTGGAATAAATCGTGCCCATTGTGGGAACTAATAGCTGAACTTTTGAAAAGATGCCAATCCAGAGTAAACGAGGTGGGGATCTTTCAGGTTCTTTGTGTTGAGGTCTGACGGACAAGGTTTCTATCAAATTAGCAAAAATTGAAGTATGATAAGGTCGATGATATCGAAAAATAGCCAAAAATTGAGCTCCAGAAAAAGCAGAGAGCTTCGAGGCAAGTTCACAGCCAACAAAGTAGAAATGTAGCAGCAAAAGAAAAAAGCAACAAACCA